CAAAAGCAGAAAACCATATTTTTAAAAATTATGTAAATTATTAAAATATTTTTTTCTTAGCATCTAGTGCCAATTGGCAAGAACGCTTGGACACGTGTCCAACATTTTTCATCTAGTATTTTCTTTAAAACTGGTGATCCTGTCTACATTGCCACCTCTTGTAAAGTGAGAAATCTGCGATCAATTGATGACAATGCATTCAAAAATATCTCCAATCTGTTTACTGTAAAAATCAAGTTGCATTTATCGAGATTCAATTTCAAAAAGAAAAAAAAAGCCATGACAAAATTGATAAATTTTATTTACCATATTTGGGTCGCATCGCTTCACAAGTGGTGTAAGTCCAAAAAATTGATTGCCTTTCGGATGAAATGGGATTCAGACATAGTTGTTTTAAACAATTTAATTAAACAATAGTTTGATTTGGTCCCTTTATCAAGGTGAAACAACAGTACTTGATAAAAGGGGTAAAGATCGCTGAATAAAAAGAACAAAGGTACTTTTGTTTAAAACACCTATGACCAAATCTCACCATCTAAATCAACGACTATGGTGATTCAAAAACTTTTTTTTCTTCTTTTGTTTTTCAATTAATTAAGAAAGAAAATTTTGTATACCAAGTTTTGAATGAAAAAACATTGAAAAATGAAACTTTTTTTTACATGAGTAGAAATATGTACTATTTTGAGAGACTACTTAAAAAAAGGTACAATATGACTAATTTGTCCAGAGAAATCTGTGAAATAGAAGGGACAGAGGCAGTGTCTATTCGCACAGCACAGACGCGCTTCAGGAAATTCAAGAAAAGAGATTTTACCATTGAAAACAAACATGTAGAAAAAGACTTGGGAAATTTTTTCAGAATCAAAAGTATCAAAAATTCACATTTTCAGGCAGTTGCAAGATTAAGTTCCAGAAGCCAGAGATGTGTCGTACATGATGCCATAGTGGATAGAACAAAGGGTAGAAATTTGCAGACATCTTCTGCCAAACCCAAATTACATTTGTTTCACGAAACGAATTTTCAATAAAGATCAGTTGAGTTAAGCCAAGACAATCAGTTCTTAATCAACTCAAACAGTTTTAAGTTTATGATGGAATTTTGTGAGTATGAGTTGGTCAAAGGTCGAGGCTCAAAGCGAATTACATCAAAGCTTTATTCCATCCAATTTGGTGAACAGGAAAGTCCTATTGCAACAAGATAAAGCAAAGCAACACCACCAAGACTAACAAATCAAAAATCAAGGAGTTTGTAAAAATCTTCCTCACCCATCAGCCCAGATCTTCAGATACCAGATCATTTCAAGCATTTTAACACATTTGAAGATGTGGAAAATGTGTTCAATTTTTTTTCCGCATCAAAAGACTTTAAATTATCTTAAAGGCATAGAACAATTTAAATAAAGGTAACTTCATTCGTAAACAATGAAAAAACCCAAGTTTTGAATCACCTTAGCATTAAGGTCAAATAATCAACGTCGGTTATTTATCGATTACATTTTTCACGAAGTATTCCACACCAATCAATCATCAAATAATTATACACATGCAAGTTTGTAAAGCAATGAAAAAAAGGTGTTGAAAGAAAAAAAAATGGTATGAATATAAAGTCAATGAAGTTTTCTGGTAAAAAATGTATTTACTAAATATAAAAATTCAAAAACAAAATTTCTTGCCATCTTTTTAAATAAAAGCGTAACAAAAAGTTGTAAGTACAATATTAAGAAATGACAAACGGTAAACGTATTAGGTACCTTTCTTGTATCAAGCAATCGGTTTTAAGTACTGCAGTCGAAAAAATATACTAATCTAAATGAATTATCTTACTCTTAACCGGTGACTGATATTGCTATCAAATTTTTGATATTGATGGCTATCGGTGACAGGAGTCCTTGGAACAACTGTTCGGTGAAATACAAGTTCAGGAGATACTCCTGTAAACTACAATTTAAGTTTTTGAATTTGTCCGAGTGGTTTGTTTAAAAAAGGGCAAAAAAACCTCTGTTCCTTTCTTTTATGTTATCATTCAGAACATTTTTATATGGTGACAAATAATGGTTGTGAATTTCAACTGCCACTAACAACTAAAAATTATTATGATTGTATACACTTGAAATACATACTTCTGAGCACAGTCAATTTAAAATTGAAAAAGCAATCAAACTCTTTTTTTTCTTTTTAGAATACACTACGAAGGTACCAAGAAGGTAGGTAATAGATATTAGATAGTAGATACTTAGATAGTCTTCTGCCAACTCCATGACAGTCGATTATCGATATATTTTTGTAAGAAAATGTTTCAAATCGATGACCTGTCGAATTAAAATTCATAAGACGGATATTTTTGACCGGGTTTAAACGAATCCGTCCATCTGGTCCGCTTGGTCTCGCTGCTTCTGTAGGTGTCAGACTGTCAGTGGTGAATAGAACAGTGAACACCTTTGAAAATTGACGGTACGAAATCAATTCAAATTTCCCGCGATTTATTTATAGCTATACGGTTTTTAAACCGTTCAGGAGAATCATTAAAAAACTACAAACTTCTTAATCTATGCAGTCTACTGGTGTTGGTAGGTGTAGTTGAAGGGATGGCAAAGGACATGCAACATTCATAAAATTGAAGTAAGACAGACAACGTTAAAAAAGAAAAAAAATACTGATAGATACTTTATTTTGAATTTATTGAGATTAAATGTATTTATTAGCGTGAATGTGTAGTGTGAGAGGGTCAATGGTGGAATATTGAGTACCCCATTGACACTCAATTACATTAATTGTCGCAAGATACTGACAGACCTATAATTTTTTGTTTATTGAGAATGAATGTAATTATTAGAGTGAATGTATTGTGTGAGAGGGTCGATTGTGTGACAGATATATTATTTTGCGTTTATTGACATTGAATGTACTTATTAGCGTGAATGTGTAGCATGAAGAGCCAATTGTGGAATATTAAAAATCCCATTGACACTCGGTTTAATTGTTTAAAGACACTGACAGATCTATGCTTTTGTGTTTATTAAGTTTTAATATATTTATTAGCGTGAATGTGTAGTGTGAGAGGGTTAATGGTGTAATATGGAGTACCCACTGACACGCAATAAGATTAGTTATAAAAGTGTAAAGGGAGATCATCATCACCCGATTAAAATAGCAGCATGTATAAAAAGGTTGTTCGATGTATTCCACTTAATTTAAGGCTATTATTCCTTGGCTGTATATAGAGAACCTGTAGAATTACATCCGATATGAGAATTGTGCTTGAGCACACTCGAATAATTGTGTCCCCTGTTCCAATATTTGGATAAAACAGGGCAGTTTTATTGTTTAAAGATATTGACAGATATTCTATTGTGTGTTTATTGAAGTTTAGTGTATTCATTAGCGTGAATGTGTTAGGTTATTATGTTTTTCCAGGTTTTGGTTTGGAGACATTCACCAACTATTTTGGATGTGACATTTTTACGTATTAATGCGTTAGGTCATCAATGACTATAGCCCGATCACTCCTCGGAGTTTTATCTCGTGTAGCTGTTCCAATTAGTGTTGTTAGAGTTGGTTCTAAACGTCTTGTAAGCCAAATTTTAAGTTCTGAGCTTCATCTGTGGCAGTCTATTCTCATTGCATAACCTACAGATAGGTTCATAGTTGAATATACCGATATTGCGTAGGTTCTCAGATGCCAGTGACTATAGAACACCCTCTGAGTTTATTCTTTTTAGCTGTAGTAATGAGTGCTTCTGAAGTTTCTAGAGGCAGCTCTAGAGGTCTTGTTATCCAAACTTTAAGTTCTGGCCTTAATGCCATTTGCGTGGCAGGTTCCTGGAAAACAGGACGCCGCGGCCTACTTTCTACCAGTCTGGAATTGTCTCTTTACTGGAGGTTAGCCCATTCTTCACGAAGAATCCTTTCAAGATCGTGGAGTGTATCAGGAAGTGATGGATGTGCTCTTATTCGCCTTTTGATATGGGATAACTATCCCATAAATGTTCGATGAGAATCTAGTCTGGAGAGCGGGTTGGCCAGGCTAAGACCCTGATGATATGCTGTTGAAGGTACGTTTGTACTATGCGAGCGACATTATCGTGTATTAGAATAGGATTGTCGCTGATTTCATGGAGGATAGGCAACGCATGATGTTCCAAAGTTTCATCTACATAGGAAGTGGCCATCAAAGACCCTCCACGAACAACAACCAACTCCTTGCGACTCTCCATTGAAATTCCCGCCCACACCATCACTGAGCTACATTGAAAAGGTTGGCTTCGGGAAAAATTACAGGATTCTTACCTTTCATTTCTCCTTCTCCACACTCTTTCACGCATATCTGGAGATCGTAGAGCAAATCATCTGTAAAAAGTACAGCAGACCAATGTTCCAAGACCAATTGCAGTATTCCCGCTCAAATGCGAGCCGTGCAACTCTATGTTCTGGTCCTCTTACGGGGCGAAGAGCCATCAGTCCATACTGATTTAAACTTCTTCGAGCAGTGCGTTCAGAAATTTCACCTCGAACTCCTGGAGCTGATAAATCGCCTGAACAATGGCAACAAGAAAGGTGTCGGTTTCGTAAAATTTTCCAAGTCAAAAAACGGTCATCCTGTGGTTTTGTTACCCTAGGGCGTTCAGAACCGGGCCTTCTATGGTACTACCCAATTTCTCAAAAACGTCTAACGTCGTCTCGCAGAGTTCGTAGGGAACTCCGATGGCAATAGCAGCATACCTGATGGAACGTCCATCATCAACAAGTGCAACGTCCTCAGCACTAAGTGGCATTTTTATGATTAAAAATTGAAATTAAGAAAACAAAGATGAAAATTAATTTCTAATATATGTACATGCAAGGGAGCTTAAAGCCCTATTTGTACCTTTAAAATAAATAAATATATGAAGGACCCGTGCTATGTTGGAATGTTGCGCACGTCAGAGAAGAGACGTTGAAATCAGAGACGTCACGTTCATGTCCCTCTCCATGAGATCGATTCTTATGAGACCACTTTCTCTCATCTGACCAATCCGTTTCGGTTTGATCTCGAAGGGGAAAAACACGTCAAAGTCCAAAAGGAGAAATCGGATTTAACTTTGTACAAATGTCAAGACGGGTTTGTTTATAAAGATAACGAATTGAAAGGAAGGCCGTCCCTCCGAAGACAGTTTCAGTTGACAGGATGGTGTCATCCAACATCACCCATCGACCCGATTTGAAATTTAACCCATCTCATTTAATAAATACTGTAACAAATTGTCAGTTTTGTGTTTAAAGACAGGTGTAAATTTCAACAAATTGACCTTATGTGTTACACCTCGACAGTTGTTTTGAAGTCAATTAAATTTAACGTTTACAAACAATGACATAAAGACACTAGGAGGTAAGTTCTGCTTTTATTTTATATGTCTATCCTTATTCCAGGTTTTCTTTTTAAGTGGAGTTTTTAAAAGTCCTATATCCATTATTTTATAGTTAAGCAATATTGGGAAATAAAAGTTTATTTGATTGCTAAGGGAGGAAAGACAATTCGATATTGTCAGACAGCTTTGACAATTTGGCATGATGTAATTTTTATTATTTTACCATCTAAGGCAGTAAATAATTTAAATTGGATTTTATTTTCCGTCAGTATTTCAACGATTCACAATGTTTTATTTTTAATAATTTTTTTTACAAGTCTGCTTATTCTCGCTGGCTTTGTTTGTCAGACAAATTGTGCCATTTAGCCTGTCAAAATGTCACTTTTACGTGTAAAAGGTAACATGAATATGATAAAATCGAGGCAGCTAGACTAAAACACAATGGACCTATCATTATCTCATTGATACAGCCTCCTAGCATAGACCAGAATGATCAGATACCATTGAACTGGTTCGGCACATCAACATCTTTCACAATATTAAAATATGCTTAGTATTAATTAAAATAATTGATCATATTGATTATATACATAATAATTGTTTATACTTTTCATGTAAGGTCTTGGTTGAGCTGAAAAGGCTAGTGTCACAAGCAGGATTCGAACCCACGACCTTTGGTTCAATATGCATCTGCTCTAACCACTGGTCATGACAGCTCAAGTGGTTAGAGCAGCAGCATATTGAGCTGAAGGTCGTGGGTTTGAATCCTGCTCGTGAAACTGGCTTTTTCATCTCAACCAAGACCTTAGATAAAAATGTTTCACAATATTGAGAAATAAAGTTTTACGTATTGGAACAATCTGAAAAATCAAATGATGCAAGGACGTTTACCAGTTGTGTAATTTTTGCGCATAAAGAGGGTAATTAAAAAAAAAAAAAAAATACAAACTACAGATTCACCTGTCCAGACTGTCTAAATATTTATATTGATTGAGTTGGTTACTTAATAGTCTAACTCTAGGGTTGAGCTTATTCACAAAATAAATGTCCCAAATGACACTCGCCAACAATAGAGTTTACATCCTTCAGCCTCTTGTTGCATTTCCTTGATTTGTCTCTGCCTTTACTCAGGTCATGGCTCTCCTTGGTCTAAACAATCAAGGAACTTGATTTGAGGCCCCCATTTCAGTGGTTGAATCTCTTCTACAGTTGCGTTTGTCCCAAAACACTTCCTCTTGCGAGCAAGTATAGCACCACAGTTTATTAATTGGTGTCTCCTCTGTTTCTTTGCAGAATCTGCACATGGGTTGTTGGGTTATGTCAATATTTTTCAGATGTTCATTTAGTTAGCAGTGTCCTGTTAAGAATCCTGTTAGGATTTACAGTTTCTCCTGCTTCCTTTAATACATTATGTTACCTCTTTTCTTTCAAAGTTTGTTAGGAGTTTCTTGGATTGTTTGTGTCCAATGAGTGAGTTCCGTTGTTCCCTTATTTTCTTTTTAACCTTCTGTCTGATGTGCTCAATGATATTGTGTATCATGTATGTGCATTCCTATGCCACAGAAAGGCTACCTAACAGTGGTATAGCAGCCCTTCTTCTTGCAAGGGCATCCACTTTCTTGTTGCCTTCTACTCCCACATATCCTGGGACCCAGCAGAAGCTATTCTTGGTCTTAACAGTCAGACCTTTTCAACTCATCTCTTTCTTTATCAGCTCTCTTTGGTCTTAACAGTAGATACTATTTGACTCACCTCTGCCATTACTCGGGTTTCGGATCTCCTTTGGCTTAACAGTTGACTTTGTATTGGTTTCTGGAACTTGTAGATGAAAGGAAAACAAACTTCTTGAAGCCTGATGGTCAACTGCTTTCTTGCGAGGGTTGGTCATGACCTTTGGCTTGGTGTTGAGAGGGCACTCTGGCAACGTTGGCACGATAAAGAAAATGTTTTTCTGAAACCTACATCAAACCCGACCGCATCTCACGATATCTGAATAACTACCTATTTTTTATATTGGTACCCAAAGCATGGGTGGAGGGAAGGAAAAGCAAATTCTTGAGGCCTGACAGTCATAGCATTATTTTGAGGATGACCTCATAACCCCCTGATAGTCCATGCAACAATCTATAATTGTAATATGTAAAAAAAAAAAAAAAAAAAAAATTACAACCTTTTGGTAGATTTCCATTCTGCATTTCACCTGTTACTCATTTTTTCAAGAAATAGGTACTACTATTTAAATAGATTTCACTTCTACGGACTGATTCTCTGATGTCTTTTTTGCTTTTTTGTCAACCTTATTGCTTCTGATTCCTGTATGACTCTACCCAAACGAAATACACTTTTCACATTCATAATCTCATAATTTCCCCCCACATTTTTTTAAACAGTTATCAATTAATTAATTAATCCTTGTTTAGTGGTCTAATTGACCATATTAATTATTTCAAAGATGAAAAAGTTAGTGTCACGAGCAGGATTCAAACCCACGACCTTTGGCTAAATACGCCGCTGCGTGAGCTATCACGGCTTCCATCTACTTGGACGCCAACTCCCCATCTCAACCTATAACCTTTTGCATTTTACCTCTTTGAAAAGGTGGGTTCGATCCCACTCCTGGCACTAACTTTTTCATATCAACCAAGACCTTACATACAAAGAATAATTAATTAATTTGGTATTGTATTTTTTGTTTCATGACAGAATGGAGGATTACAAGTTTTTATTCAAAGTTGTTCTCGTTGGAAATGCTGGAGTTGGAAAGACTTGCCTTGTAAGAAGGTTCACGCAAGTATGTACATTATTGATGGATTTTTTGTGTATTTAGATTCAATTTTTTTTTAAACTGCATCTACTATGCTAAATGTATTTACAAAATGTTATATTGTTCTTTATAATTTTGGTCAAAAATTAAACCATGTATGGACCAGATGGATACCATCAAGGTTTGACACATAAAAACATAAATAATGCAAAAAAGCTTGTTAAAAAATAAAATTAGCGTGTATCAATTCATAATCAGTCTCATAATGTTTCAGGGTCTTTTTCCGCCTGGTCAAGGGGCAACTATTGGAGTTGATTTTATGATAAAAACTGTTGAAATCGACAATGAAAAAATTAAGGTACGTTTGGCACTAAAATTAAAAGTTTGTATGTTACATTACATTTTTTTTCATAATACAGCTCCAAATTTGGGACACTGCTGGTCAAGAAAGGTTTAGATCTATAACCCAGAGCTACTATAGGTCAGCTCATGCTTTGATTCTAGTTTATGACATAAGCTGCCAACCGACCTTTGACTGTTTGCCGGACTGGCTGAGAGAGATTGAAGAGTATGCTAGTAGCAAAGTTCTTAGGGTGTTAGTTGGTAAGTGATTTACTCAGTATATTGTATCTATCTTACTGATGTCTTGTATAATCGCTCTTGGAGTAGAGAACTTTCCACAAGAAGGATTGAAACACTTGCTTCACCAAGGTCCCTTTTATAGTCTGCTCAATTCTTAATTCTCTTTGCCTTATAGGCTTTCTAATGACTGATTTTTATCTTAAACCAAATTTCCAGGCTGGTCAAGGAGAAATGAAAAAAAAAAAAAAACACCATTTAACTATTTTATTATTTATTTAACCATCCCTAACCAGTCGCATTGCCTTAGGGAATGATTAGTTTAGGTAGGGTTAGGGAATGTTTTACCCTCACATTGTTGTCGTGAGTCTTTCAAGACCTAGAGAAAGTTTTTTTGCCTTGTATTGTCTATTTCTTATTTTTCATCTACCCTCCAATGCATTCTTCTAGTAGGTCGTGAAGTAATTTTTTTAAAATTTTGAATAAAAATGTTAGTTGTTGCTCATTTTGTAGATAAAAAGTTAGGTAGGGTTAGGGGATGTTTAAGTTAGGTATTGTTAGAGAGTGTTTTTAGGCTGGTAGGGTAAGGGAATGTTTTAGTTAGGTGGGGTTGAAAATTGTTATAGAAAGCATATGATAGGCAGGTAATGTTTAGGTTAGGTAGCTATGATTATGGAATGTTTAGGTTAAGTAGCTAGGGTTAGAGAATGTTTAAGATATCTGGTGTTAGGGAGTGTTTAGGTTAGTAGGGTTAAGGAATCATTATGGATTGTTTAAGATGGGAGTGTTTAGGTTGATTAGGGATGGTTGGGGAGGTTTACTGAGTTGATCCTTGTTTTATCACTCAGGCTTTTAAAACTGCCTTTTGTGGTTGAGTTTGAAAATTTCCTTTACTAGTATCTGTAATTAAAAGTCGTGGATTTTAAATTTCATTTTCAAGCTATGAAAAAAAGACAAAAGAAGAACATCCCTAACCATTTTTGTTTTAAATAACTTGTAATTAAAAGGTACAAATATTTTCTTGTTTGCAGGAAATAAAATAGATCGAGACGACAGAGAAATTCCCTTTCACGTTGGAGAGGATTTTGCTCAAAGGCACAATATGTATTATTTAGAAACATCTGCAAAAGAGTCAGACAATGTAGAAAAGTTATTTGTTCAAATTGCTGCAGAACTTATGGAGGTAAATTGTCATAAATGCTTTTAAAAAAAATATTTCTATCTAGTTGTTGAAATACGTTTAAGCCTCTTGCTTTTCTTTTTTTCTTTTAACCTCTAATAAAAATTATTGTATAATTTTTTCTAGCAAGCAAGATGTAAGGAACTACCTCGATATGATGATTCCAATTTGCAAAGTGTAAATCGAAGAGCAACTGTTGTTGATGTTACATGTTGTAACAACTAGAGAAGCTATGCTAAAACATAAATCTTAATTTCAGGTAAATAAGTATTCATAATTTATTAATTTGGATAAAAGCCAAATTTATTTTTCAAATGTTCAAATAATAATTTGATTTTCAGTTGGAAAAAACAAAGATTTGGAAATGTTTATGTAGCAACTGACAATGCCGATGGTCGCATTAGTATGTGTTATCATCTTGCATTTCTGGTCTGGTCTTATCAACAAACGAAATAGCGACTGGCGGAAAAAGTCCTACCTGGATCTCCTAGTCAGCCAAAGTTCGATAGGAGACAGGAACACGTAGGATGATATTCGTTTTGTCAAAAAAGCGGAAGGCAGTGTAAGCCGAGGATGATGGGACATTGAGTGATAAAAGGAAGTAAGAAACTGGTGTTTAAGTGTGTTCACCCTTGTTTTGTCGATTGAAACTACTTGTTTTAAACAATTTTTCATTAATGAAATTCAACATTAATGAATTTAAATCAACACTATCATATGGTAAAGGTGTAGGAAATATTATTTAAAAAAGGGCAATGTTGTTTAGATCATGTTATATGTTATACTTTATGTTTATGCCATACAATATCTGGCTAGGAAATTTGCAAATAACTAATTCTAATGAAATTGTTTTCATAATATCCTTATGAATTACACTGAGAAATAATTAGAAATACTTTATTAATTAATTGTACAAAAAATATCATAAAGATACAGTTAATGAAGATATCGTGTATCAACATTTGCAACAAAAATGCTAAGCACTTGTACACTCTTTATTTTGCTTTTCTAATAATGGGTTTTTAATTATTTTAATGTTGTGATATAACAGTGCCCTATAAACTTAATTATTGAGTTCTTTGATAACCATTAATTAATGGAAATTGTAAATGAATTTCCAATCAATGCTTTGATCCTGGATAAATTTTTATCGTAACAACACTAATATTACTGTAAGAAAAAGTAACTCAATTTGTTATTATACACACTCTACTTGTGACTGACTTAATGAACACATATTAAAACATTTTTTAATAAAAGTGGATTTTTTTTTCTTTCCGCCTATGAGAAATAAATCTGTAACATAAACCTAACCTATCTCATTCCTAACTCTCCCTTAAACTTAACCTAACTCATCCCTACCCCCCACTTAAAATTAACCTAACCTGTCCCTAACTCTTAAACTTATACCAACTGAACTGAACCATCCCTAATTCTTATTTTAAAACGTTCGTTACAGCGGAAAATTAGTCAATTCACCGCCCTCACCCACGTTCAGAAATTTTTTCAAGATTTGAAACTTATTTGGGTTCATAAATGACCCTTAATTAAAATTCTGATTTAAAAAAGGTTTTGATAGTTTTTTGGTACAAGGTATGGTATGGTATGGTGGAAAAGGATACTAGGAAGCGGGTTTTGTATTCCCCAGGCTTTGCAGCCTTCTGGCTTATTGTACCTTCCTAGTTCCTTAGTTCAGTCAATAGACTCAATCCTTCTTCTAGAAGTATCAGGTCATTGACTGTTGCTGCTGCAATTTGATTCCCTAAGTCTTTTTTGTATGTTAGGTTAAACCTCCATTGAGCTGTTGCTTCGCATTCGAAGATGATATGAGTGGCTGTTTCCTCCTCCTCATTACATAATCTGCAAATGGGATCATCACTGTATATACCCATGTTGTGTAGATGTTTTCTCAGATGCTAGTGACCGGTTAGTAGTCCTACTATTCCTCTGAGTTTGGCCCTTTCCAATTGCAGCAATGTTTTTGCCAGTCTTGGTGAGGGTTGTTTCATCATAAGTTTACTATGTCTAGCACCGCTAGACTTTATCCACTTCTCCTTTTGTTTTGCTTGGATCCATTCTGTGATGGAGGATTCTATATTTGTTTTTGTTATCCCAAGAATAGGTTCGGGGCCTATGTATGGTCTTGCAGATCCTCCTCTGGCTTTTTGGTACATGGTTTAAAGAGTATTACAGTGGCAGGGCCACTAAACCAGAAAGTCTTTAGATTGTTTAAATTGTGGTAAATATTTACGGTGAGGTTTTGGGAAGTGGGAAAAAGTAACAATAAAAAAAAACATGGCCATTCACAAAATAGATTTTGAGAAGATAGATTGTCAGAGAAGATGGCTATCATCCGGGAATGTATTCCTATCCTTTTTATTGGAAAACTGTGGCATATTTACCTAGGTTTTCCAACAGTTCAGTCTTTGGATTCATCCCGAAGACTCCAGCCCGCGTGCCCTTATTATTTTTGGAGACTTCAATGTACCAGTAGGATTTTGTCTTTAGCGGTGTTCCTTTGGTCCATTCTTCCCGTTCTGGTATCAGTTTCTTGTACTTTTTAGAAAAATAGTAGTTTGGAGTAGTGGCATCGATTGACATGCTTAATATGGCATCTGCTTGTATCTTCTCCCTCAGTTTCCATTGTTTATTTAAAATGGCCTATCCTTGCAAATGATTGTCCATTTATAAGCCTGTGTGCTGCTGCTCTGGCTTCTCCTTGGATTAAAATATGAAGTGGTGGGAGGTTTAATGTCTCCTGGGCCGCAGTTGGCATTGTGCTTATGGCTCCAATGACCCTAACACAAGCTTGTCTTTGGGTCCACATAATAAACTGGATTGCTTTGGCCTACACAGTCTTGGTCTACTACACCACCGACCCATGATCGGTCAACATTAGTCTTAATATGCAGGTATATAGCCATAGGGCCATTTTGCGGTTTAATCCCCAGTTTTTGCCGCCCCCAGGCAATTTTGGCTCTCTATGTGGTTTTAGTTAAACGTGGATTCCATGTGAGCTGCTGGTGTAGTGGTTTGTTCTCCTTGGCAAATGGGATTGGGGTCCCATTAGTCTTGGAGTTTTTAGGTCTTCTATTGTCTTTTCTACTTGACCTAAGGTCCTCTTCCTTGTGTTGTGAATGATTTTGTGGGGGTTAATAGATAACTTCTCCCTTTTGCACCACCTGTCAACCAGGTTGAGGGGCTTGTTGTATACGATCCATCATGATATCTGCATCGCAGCCCATTACTACTACGGCAAGGTCGTCCGCATAGCCCATACAGTAGAATCCTTCTTGTTCCAGTGTTTGAAGGAGTTTGCCTATCAGCGACGTCCACAGTATAGGCGAGGTACCCCCTCCCCCTTGTGGGTATCCCGTGGCTTTCTTCGACCGGATGGCTATACCGCCCAAGGTGGATGTGATTATCCTATTCCTTAGGCGTTCTTCAACCTATTAGCATATATTTTCCGAGACTCCAGTGTTTTTGATTGCTCTATATAAAGAGGCTATAGTTGCTCCCTCTGGCTGCTAAAAGCTCCCTCTATATCCTTAAAACGTGTAATCCTTGTCGTTCATGGACTTGATTAGGCATTTACACAGGGCTATGGATCTCCCTGGTTGTTATGCGAATTGCGAACTGTCGCTCACTTCGAGGCTTGTGCTTCAGTGCTGTCTCTCGAATGTGGTTCTCTAAATCAAAATTCTCTACTAGTCATTCTAATGTCTTTAACATGAAAATGAATGATGGTCTGTACGAGTTGGGCTTGTGGTCGATGGGTCGTCCTACTTTAATTTGATGTGAATTAAAAAATCAGTGAAAATTATTATTTTTTTGAACTTTGTATGTTTTGTGAATACTGTTTTTGTTCAATTTTCTTCTTTTTTGTTCTAATTTTTATAATCAACCTGGATCGAATGGACGTAATCGATTGTGTCTGTTACGTGGCGTATGTGCTTGGGTTGGGAAGGTAACGGGGACACGGTGGACCGTCTTCAGTTGTGTGTTGGCAGGTTGTTCCACTTCTCGGACCGTCAACTCGCCTGAAACGCACCATTTTACCCTTAGAGGCAGCAGGATTTTCGACCTGTCGACTTTCCAACCATCCCGTACTACAATGTCCAACAAGAACAAATCCGTATTCACTAAAGAAGAGGAACTCCTTCTGCAAGACTTCAGCAGGAACGTTTCGACGAAATCCTCTGCGCTGTTTTACGGAAACGCTTTCATCGTCTCAGCTATACCGATATGTGAGTAAAACCAATTTGAAATTGGAAATCCTGGCAGTCTGCCAAAAAAACACAATCTTATTTATGTACTTTTTGCCATTTCTTTTTTCTTCGAATAAACGCACTACGTTTTACTTTTTCCGATATTTTCTCGTTGGCAGAAGTACTTGATTGTACTCCTTATGCGAGGAAATGTTTTCAGTTTTAAGCTTAAAATCCCTTTTCATTTCTGTTTAAACAACTTTTAAAAATTATATGCGTGATGTCACAAGAGGAAAATTAGTCATCCAGCTTACGGGTTCGGTTGCTGATTGATCTGCACATCACCACGGTAAAAGAGTAACTCATGTTGACAATCACCAATCAGATGGATGACATGTGCAACATTTTATAAAAAGACTCCAGCTTTGTCATTGCCTCCTTGATCTTAGTTGGTTTATATACAAATGTTTCATTTTTTCTATTATAATTATACAAATACAATACATATACAATTTTGATAATAAGACAATAAATTGAATGTGATTAAAATATAATGGCTTTCTTGTTGGTAAGCATAACAAATCAGATGACAGAAATGAGTAGGAAGGAACCAAACTTGCTTGAAAAGTACTTAAGTAAGGTACATGAGAGCATTCACGCACAAAGACATCATAAACAGAGTCTTGTTTTCTAATTTGGACAATTAGATGTAGTGAGGTTGATTATGAATTTGTGAGACAGGCTGAAAACAATTAAGGAAGGTCATATTCACCTGCAGGATGTGGCAAAAGGTAAATCAGTTGTCCAACTGACCGGTTCAGTTGCTGATTGATCATCACCACAGATTAAAGCGGCCCATAGACGGTCAATATTATTGTACAATATAGATTGCACAATAATTTGACAGTTAACCCTTAACGTTCAATAATATTGTACAAAATTTTGTTTGTGCAATGAACTTGAATAGTTTGAAGGCGATATTGAAGTTTGTGCAATATTTTGTGCACTTGTTGATACTTAACAAACTGACTGATATTGCGTAATAATGCCAACAGACTGTGCAATATTTTCCAGGTTGTACAATATATTTTCAACTTTTCGTCAATCATGCAATGTATTGCACAAACTTTCAATATCGTCTACACATGATTAATTAAATTGCACAACCCAAAATATTGTGCAATAATATTGATCGTCTATGGGCCGCTTTAAAGAGTAACTCGTGTCGACAATCACCAACCCCCACAACATGTTATTATGAAAGTATTTCAGTTTACACAATGAAAATATGGATGAAATGTTCAACATTTTATAAAAAGACTCCTCCTTTGTCATTGCCTCCTTGATCTAGTTGGTTTATATACAAATATTTCTTCTTTTTTTAAATTATATAATTACAATATACAATATTTTGATTAAGGCAACAAAGATACAACTTATATAGCGTATATATTTTGCCTTTCTCAGGGCAAATTTATGAGAAAAATAATGTATATAAAGGATCTGGAGTCTACATGGACTCTCCGTTTAAAGTCCTTATTTATAGTACATTTATTATTTAAACTTTAGGACTTTAACAATTTTTTTAAATACCTTCCTTACAAGTCAGAAGTGTTTTTTTTTAAATTTAATTTAATTTTTTTTAAAGATTATTAAGATTTACTTATACAGGAAGTTTTAATGTCCAATTTCCTGCTGGGTGTCGCAGAAGGCGAAAGACTGAAACATGTCTGACTGACAAAGCAAGGATAGGCAGACCAGAATGATTAGTAATGATAAAATTACAAATATTTAAGTAACTGTGTACTATTTCCACTGTGGCTCAGTTGTTATTTCTGATCATTCTAGTCTTCCTTGTTTCACTTGTTTTGTCCAGCAAAAGAGGTCTTTTTTCACCACTTCAATGGTTGCTTTTTTAGTCTGTTTTTCTTAGTCTTGTTCTCATTTGATAAATTTATAAATGAAGGAGAAAGAATTATGTCAAAAATGACAAGGGGCGAACGAGACTTTTGTGCCTGAGAGCATAATTTTAAAGTGAGTGGATACTTCTAGAGTATATTGTTAGGGTCGTCAGTTGGGTAGAGTCAGTCTGACTTGACCTGTTTGGCAGTAGCCCAAAATCAAGTTACAATTCTTAAAAGATTGACTCCTTAGTTTGGGGAACAAACACTGTCCAGGGACTGTTTAACTGGCATAAGTTCAAGGAACTTGGATGGGTGGAAAAATGAGTAACATGAAGGCGATTGATGTCGTACCGTAACTAAAATTACATACTGGAAATTACAGTTGGAATATCTCGACAAAGGGCATAGGTGTGTAAAAGATGTGCTCCTTGCCCGTTGACAGCAGAAATAAGTCGAAATGTTTGCAGGTATGCCAGGAGCTTTCAGCACGCTTCGCCGATCCTTCTTGTACCCCGTTCTGTAACTTTCACCTCATTAATAATGGAAATTGCAAACTGAACGCACAGAAATTATGAGATTTTTTGATGGTTAAGGTGATAAAAAAAAACTTGTTTAAATTATAGATTTTTTTAAGTTCTCAAAAAAATTTCTTTGTAGCTTGGTAATATCTGATATGTTAGGTCGTTTTTATCTTCTTTCATTTCAGGCTTGTTTCTTCTTAATCCAGATCTATGAAAGGCTGTGTGATTTTTTCTTGAGGCTATATCTTGATATTTTTTCAAGAGATTTTTGTTTGTTTCAGGGCTGTTCTGGAGGATACACATGATTGACATCTACAGCTCTTTTCTATCGTTCATCGTTGTCACTCTTACAAGCACTTACCTTGTTGCGAATGCTTACAAAAATACAAAATTTGTTTTAAAGCATAAGGTAATATTTTCAAATATGATGTTATATTTATCCCTTTTAATTCTATTCCTAAACAATTCAACAATTTGTATAATTTATTGATCCTTTTTTAAAATTTATTTATTTACTGTATGTTTTATATATAAATTTTTATTTAAAGATTGCAGTGAAGAGAGCAGATGCAGTAATGAGAGAAGTAACGAGGAAGTTGTCTGAGGACAAAAAAATTAACAAAAAGGAGAAGGATGAGCGGTATGTTTTCTGAAAAGTATTTATTTAGGTAATACGTTTTATTTCTTTCTAAAATGAGTCTGATCATTTTTGATCTATCTATTTCAGCATAGTCTGGAAGAAAAATGAAGTCGCAGATTACGAGGCAACGACCTTTTCAATTTTCTACAATAACTCTTTGTTTCTAGCATTGGTTATCTTCATTAGCTTCTATGTTCTGAAGACTTTTTCACCATCAGTGTATCCTTATCTTATGACAAAAATTAATTATTTGATTTGAACTAATTAAATTTTGAGATTTACTCTCGAGGTTTGCAGGCTGATATCCTGTTGAGCCTTGCAGGTTTGGCCTGGCAGATGTCCCTTGGCATTTTGCAAGTTGGCCTGTTGCATCAGAATGGACAGACTAAAATAATCAGAATCTTTCATTTAAACTTTTTTAGGTTGAAAAATATTAGGTATATATCTTCTTGTTCTAGCCAATAAGCCCTGAAGTAGCCAAGAAATTAAAAAAAAAGTTATTATATATCAGTCAATTTGTATTTGATTGTAGGAAAATAAAATAATAAGCAGGATTGTATTAAATGAGATGACATAAAAAGTTACAAAAATGAAGACAACTTATGTAAAGTAGGCAAAAAAATTAATTTAAAAAAATTGTTCATATTTGTTTTAAGCATAATTTAAAGCCTATGGATATGAAATTTTATAAGGAACAAAAAATTACCATATTTGGGTTCCACTTTAAAAATTCAGAATTTCTCTAGATTTTATCCAAATTAAGTGTTATTACAATTTCGGAAAGCTGAATTTCTCTTCTTTTAAGCTAATCTATAATAAAAGTTGGTATCAGTAAAGTAGGCCAATAAATTTTGTTTCTTAGAAAATTAATTCGGATTTGTTCTAAACATCCTCCAAACCCCTTAAATATGAATTTTCATGGCAAAAAAAGACATTGAGCTAGATCACTCAGGGGCATTTTTTTATTTAGATGTCCATTGTTCCTCTTTTTATTCACTTTATTCACAACTCCTCTGGATTTTATCCAAATTTAACGTTATTACAATAATTAGAAAGCTATATTGTCTTATCTTAAAATTATATTAACAAGGCTTGGATTTATGTAATTATAAGTGAGAAAAATAATGATAAAATGAACAGAAACTCCCAACGTTTTATTTTCTTGCTCTAATTGTTTTTTTATTGAGACTGGGTTTGGGCCATTACGGGTAGTTTATAGGGTTCTAAACATGTGTAACTTACTGATTGGTGGAGTCATTTCAAAGTTATCACTATTTTCTGTTCGACAAAAAATCGGAGGCACCCAGAAGGCGAAACTCAAATAGAAGAAAATATTTTTTGATTTTACCTAAACTTTGTATTCAGAGTTCTTTTGGAGTGTAAAATAAGAATATTAACTTGGTTTCTGCTAATCTATTTGAACCTACTTTGCTCAGTCGCTTGTTTTTTTTCACGGCCCCTAGGGTCTCTTTGCTATTTTAATTAAATTGGTGATACCATGTCTGTAGGCTTCTGATAAATGTGCATTAACTATTGCATTATATATATTATAGACTGAGAGGCAAAATAGAGGCCACTTTTTAAAAAATATTTTTTTCATATTATTTATTTATTTTTTTAAATAAAATACATGCAATCATTATCATTTTTATTTTGTGTTTACTGGATATTTTTAAAGAAAAATGGAAGATATGGCTAACAAATATACAACCAGGTTGGTGGGTTGCAGATTTGGACCAAACCTTTTTTTTGTTAATTCTATACTTCAAATATATCATCGGGGATTTGCCAAAAAAATGTGTTTGAAAGATAAAAGTTTCCGTTTTTTAATATTTTTCGCCGTTCTATTTTCTCAAATGAACTATGTGAATGTATCATTTTGCAACATTTTTTATGTACATTGCAATAAAAATATAGTAAAAGCTATAAAAGTTTATTAGTAACCAAAAAAAAATTGAAAAACAAAATATTTTTCAAATAAACTAGGTCATAATTTTTTTTATTTTTGGGGGGGAAGTAATTCTAGAGACCCCTAAATATAAATTTTTGTTTGAATTTAAATTTATAAATTTTTGACCCCTGAAATTTTTCTGATTTTGGAGAATTCATTATCAGAATATCTGATTGAAATGGCTGTAATTCATTAACAGCTAAAGGATCCAATAGACCATTTGAAAGAAGAGAAACCTAACTTTTTAATGACATATGTACCATTCAAATATATAAAATATTTCTATAAGACAATACACAAAATAGCAAAATTATTTTTCAGAAATTAACATATTTTTTAAATGGAAATAATTGGAATTTTAATGTTTGATACATTTATAAACTGCAGTTGACAATTTTGATGTTAGAGCTTGCACAATGAACGTCAGTCAGGCAGAAAGATTGACAAAATTATCAGTCAAAAAATGAATTTCTAAGGGTTTTATAATGCTAGAATCATGACAATGAGGTTAATTCAAATTTTAACCATTTTCTGACCTACTTTGATTACTGATTGTGTGTTACAATATGGAAAAAAGCAGTATTTTGTTGATTTATGTTTTCAATCATACCAAATTATAATATTCTCCATCATAGAAAATTTTTGCTTTTATGTAACCAACAATGAAATTAATACACCAAAAAATATTTTTTAATCTCTAAATAACGACATGCTCATTTAGTTAAATTTAATTTATACTTATCATTTTTCTGATATTTTAAATTATTAATAGTAAGGGTGGCCACTTTTTTTTTTTGCCTCCCATTATATTAGTTTTATTATTAGTTTTAACTTATTTAAATTTCATTTTATTTATTATTTTATTATATATTTTTTTAACTTTAAGGTAATTTGAAGTATGCTTACTTGAAAATAAAATATATTCCTTAACATCACTTAACAGAAACTATGTATTATCTGTTGGTGCGGCTGGTGGCGTCATTGCCCTGTTATCGACTGGATCGAAATAATTCACCTGAGTAATACATACAATAAAATAAGAAATAAATTATTAAATGTGATTTTTACTTACAATTTATTTTTATTGATTTATATTAAAAAAATTACAAATGTCGAAATAATTCATTTTGCGTTATTTATCAATTTCAATATTTTTTTTTTTTTTTTTTACAGATATTTGAATATTTTGTCAATTATTGTGGTTCCCCTTGCAAATATAATGAATTGTAACTGATTTTTTTAAACTTGTATATTGTTTTTATCTTTTCAGTGGCCCCACACTGAATGTGACTGAATTCATATCTGACCTTATTAAAACACTGTTGTGTCTAGAATGAGAGAATCATTCATTTTCTTCATGAAAAAAAGCATCTCTTTTTTTTTTCTTGATCCTTACCAACTGTATTTTGGTAGGTTTTTTTCTGTCAATTTACCTTATCACGAGTACTACAGGAAAAAGAAAAGAAGGACCACACCTTGTTCAATTCTTGCATCGGTCGATTATATAAGGAACATGTGTAAATACTGAAAAAAATTGTCACAAAAAGAGAAAAAGAAAAACATAAAGGACAGACAACAAAAAATAAAGAAAGATATGAAATTTTCCTTTTCTTCATAAGTGATAAATAAAAAAAAAATTTTTTTGCTGAAAACATAATTATTGTGCCAAACGATTAGTGCAAATGACAGGGGTTTTACCCCAATACCAAGAGGAATACTGATTACTCTTGGATAGAGTGAGTGTTTTATTAGCATGAATGAATGGATTTCTGCCCAAATCACTCGGAAGAATCTCGAGTATTCTGAGGCAGTGTATGTGAAGTCTGATGTGTGAGTATTTATTAGCGTGAATGGATGGGTTTACCTCAAATACCACGAGGAATATCAACTACTCTTGGGTAGTGTGAGTGAATTTATTAGCACAAATGAAAGGATTTGTAATGAAATTCCTTGGAGGAATATCGAGTAGTCTGAGGAAGCGTGAGTGAAGTCTGATATGTGAGTGTATTTATTAGTGTGAATGGTGAGGTTTGTACTCAAATTTCCCTGAGGAATATCAACTACTCTTGGGTAGTGTGAGTGAATTTATTAGCATGAATGAGTGGATTTCTAACTAAATTCCTCGGGGGAATATCGAGTAGTCTGAGGAAGCGTGAGTGAAGTGTGATGTGTGAGTGTTATTTATTAGTGCGAATGGTGAGGTTTGTACTCAAATTTCCCTGAGGAACATCGAATACTCTGGGGTAGTGAGTGAAGTCTGTTGTATCCACCATGAGCTTATTTCTTGCGCCAATCAATTCACCTGGTGGAAAGCATCTAAAAAAAATTCAGAATATTTTGGTTGTTTGCGTTTATCTCGTAAGCTATGAGGTTTAAATTCTTGCGCCAACAAATTCACCAGGGTCATTTTGTAAGACATAAAGCATTTTTTTCCCGATGATTTGCTTGGTTACATTTACCTTGTGCACTATGAAGTTTATGAGCTTATTTCCTGTGTCAATTGATTCACCAGGGTCATTTCCATTAAAAAGTGTCAAAAAAAATTTGCATGGTTTTTGTTTTTGCATTTATCTCCTAAACTATGAGGTCTACACGTTTAATTCTTGTGCCAATCAATTATAGGAAAACATTGACATTTTTTGGGGACTGCGGTAGCCGAGTGGTTAGCGTGAGAGACTCTCGGCTCATAAACGCCACGGTCGTGGGTTCGATTCCCACCGTCGCCTCTGGCCCTTTTTTTACGATACCCCCCCCCCAATATGAACACACATATAAGAATTCGTCACCATGGTTAATATGCATAGATCATAAGGCAAACAAAAAAAATTGACTTTTTTGTATTTATTCTTGCTCTATTTCGTCTCTGTATCTGAGCATCTCTCTCTCTCTCTCTCTCTCTCTCTCTCTCTCTCTATATATATATATATATATATATATATATTTTTATGTACCGCCATGCCCCTCCACACACATCTGACAGTGAAAGGAGTAGGGGCTAGGAAAGGGCTATTTTTTTCATTAAAAAAAAAGTCCTTTTATGTCTTCCATGGGTTAAGAGCTGCCTATTTGTAATTAAGAAAATTTGGTGTGCACACAATTCAAGTGAGTAAACTTTATATTTTGATGTCAAAAAAGTAAAAATAATAGTTGTATTTTAATTTAAAAAAAGGTTGTCACAAAAAATATATTTTTATAAAGAAAACTAAAAGAGATAGCATTTGATTTTAAAAGGTATGTTAAAATATTAATTGTATTTTCTAATTGGTGGTCAAAAATTAATAATAATAACAATAATAATAATTTCCTTTACTTTTACTTTTCTTTATACAACGAGAATTAACGTCGATTTTAAAATTAATGTTTGTAGATTCTGAAATAGGTTTTATTATAGAATAAAAGATTTTTTAAATTAAAAATAATAATTAATAAAAGAAATTGTAATCTTATTTGAAAATAAATTGTAATAAAAGATTTAAATTTAATTAATATTTTGGTTTGAATTGAATATTGGAATTTTGTATATCAAAAAAAGGTGCCTGATCATTAAATTAAATTAATGTAGTCAGGTTCGATCATAAGAAAACCTCTGGGACCTTGTTTTCGGTTCTCCGAATTCAGGGTTGGGTCCAAAACAGAAGAGACATGCTTACATATATATATCCTCTCTATGAACAATAGAATAATAAGGATGAAGGGTTGAAAAAAAGTTGCACGATGCCATGGAAATTTTGTATTTTCAAAAGGCAACTTCGTCTTTTTCTTTTTTTGTTGTAACAAATATAATTTAAGATTTATTTCAAAAAAATGGTATTAACAATTTACAATTATATAACTAGAATTTCTTGTCATGATTTTTGTAGTTGAGTATTTTGAGAAAATATTTCGACGTTAATAATAATTTGTGGTTATTACCTGTAAAAACAGAAAAAACGCAAAACGCCCCAGACATTTCTTAAACTTAGTAACATAATGTATTGAATTCATAATGTGTTTTTCATGAAAATTTTCTCGTCTCTTCTCTTTTATTTAAGATTTTTTTTTCTTGTAAATATGCAGAAATATAAAATATTTTTATTATTACACTAGAATGATGTTTTCACATCATCTATCTCATATATACAGGTTCTATGATGAAACTTTCATCTTAAGCAGCTTTAAACGTTCGCCATTTATAGGCGAAGTGCGTTAGCTTAATAGTAATAATAATAATTGACTATGCGACTATACCAGAAATGTAAGGTTTCAAGCATAATAAATATTCGAAATAAATAGTTCAAACAATACACTTCATCTAATGTGCCACTGTTTGTTTAAGAAATGTGAGTTTCATTAATAATTCTTTTGCATGAATTTTTAAATTTTTTTTTCAATAAGTTGGATGTTACCTTTTTTTTTCTATCTACAATAAAATCACCATATAAGTAAAGGTTAATTACATCCGAATTGTCTATAATGCTCATATCTCTATGGCTTCGACCTTATACTTTTATTATATGAACCTTATAGGTTTGAACATTTGGACATGGCAAAAAAAAAATCAACTTGAATGTACAGTACATTTTGAGCTTAAAAATTATGTACACTAACAATGTTTCAACTTAACAACATAAACAAAACAAACATTTGAATTTAGCTTTATATTAGATGAAAACATAATGACACAAAAAATTAAATAAAAAAAAACAACTTTTTTTTAGAAACTACAGTAGTTTTGAAATTAAAAATGACTAATATTTATTTTTCTAGTAATAACAACATTAAATAATTTATATTGTCTTCATATAATTTAACATATCTACAGCTCGAGTCGCCACGAGCAAGTTATAATAAAATATAATCATATAACACAGTAAAATTAAAAACAATTTCAAGAAAACACGCACTAGAAATTATCACATTCAGGTTAAAATAAAATTATATATTAAACACAACTTTTTATGACTAATTACACCTTCAGTTCAATGCTAATAACAAAATAATGCTATTTCGCACTCGTTTAAAACACAGTATAAATTTATATCTCATCGTCGATCTATAAGTTACGGTCTATTCTAATTCACTTGTACTATTCTTTTTAATAATTACAAAATAAGATTTGATACGTATGAACATACCTGGGAATTTTTTTTACATTGTACAAACATTTGAAATTTTAAATTCAAAGTTGTTCAAACCCAGGATTTAGTCCCATTGCCCCTGTAACTTTATCAGACGGTTACCGGTGGTTACTAGTTAATTATCTCTTGTATTATTTTAGATTTGCATTGAGATTTTTTTTTCTAATGCAACATTTCTGTAGTCAACTGAAGAACTAAACAAACGTTTGAATTTGCAGGAAATTTACAGGGAAAGGCTTATGAGCAATGGAAATGAGCAAATTTTGTGCCTTTCATTTCAAGTCAAATTTTAAACATATTTTTACAAGTTTTTTTTAACTATTTCATTTTTTTGTCATATCATATCAAAAGTACTAATAAGGCCATTTTAATATACTTATATAAATTTAATTATGTGTTCGGATGTTTTCATAGCGTTTGGAGATCTGACTAATTTAAGGGGTTTTTTTTTCTTCGCTGCGTTACATAGCCAGGGCATCTGATGCCCTAATTAAATATTACTATTTTCTTCATAATATTTTTTTTCTTTATTGTTTTCAACCTACAACTAGAATCTTCCAAATTAGTCGTCCTTTTATGCAAATGCCAGTAACTATTATAAAATACAAAAAGTTTTAAATATTTACCGGGAAAGTTTTGAGATTCCATTTATGCAAAATAGTAAAAAATTGTTTTGTTTTTTTATACACCTCTAACATTAATATATTTATTTACCATTTTATTTATTTATTTTTTTAAATAGTTTAACAACCAAAAGTATACAACAGTGCAAATAAATTTTTTCAATTAACACTAGAATAATTATTTCACAGTTTTAAATACTATTTACAAGTAATCATTAAAAAAAATTTTAAATAAATAAAAAAAATTCCTTTGTAATTCCCTTTTCTTATTTTCCGTTGTCTTTTACCAATATCCGTCTAAAGCTAGAAGGATAAAATGTTCAAGACCAATTATATTAAAAGAAAAAACTTCTGAAAATAATAATAAATACACTTAAGATTGATCTAACTAATCTTTTGTTCAAAATTAAGTCACCTATGAACAAAAGTCCAAAAATTTGCGTTGCTCGTAACTTTTGGAAGTTTACAAAAAAGAACTCTACAAAAACTTACAAAATTGAAATAAAACTATGCTACATTTTTTACGATGACTTAGGCGAAGTACCTGAACCTTTTGGAGGTGTGGGGGCCCCTCCAGAGCTATTTGATCCAGGTCCTAAACTGGTATCCATCCCCTCACTATTTTGAACGACTGAGTTGAAATAACGATCTAAAAACAGAAAAAAGACAATTTTAGTGGATGTGTAGATTTAAAAAAAAAACACTACTAGGTTGTAGGAACCTATTTACTTTGAATGAAAAGTGTTAATGATAAATATTTCATATGTATCAATGTTATCAATTAGTGTGAAGAATAAATGCCCAGGGATTTACTACTTTGGGCCATTGTGAATGAAGGCTGTGTGAGTGTATTTATTAGTGCAAATGGATGGGTTTTTACCCCTATCACGTCAAGGAACATTTAATATTCTCCGGTAGTGTGAGTGAAGTCTGATGTGTGAGTATATTTATTAGAGTACATGGTGGTTTTTTATCCCAAATACCCTGAGGAATATCGACTACTTTCAGGTAGTGTTAATGTATTTAATAGCGCAAATGGCTGAATTTCTACCCAAATCACCCAGAGGAATATTGAGTATTTTGAGGCAGTGAGAGTGAAGTCTGATGCGTGATGTATTTATAGCATGGAAGGATGGATTTCTACCCCAATTACTTTTTCACGTACCATCATCAATTAGAGCTGATGTTTCATGGTTAGAAGAAGATATCAATGGAGTCATCATGTAATCTTCTTCAAGCGTGATAAATGGTGGTCCAGGCCCTGGCGGTGGTGGTGCAGTAGCTCCAGGAGGAGTCCATCGTGGTAAAGTTCCTCGGGACGAAGTTCTTGGAGAACCCACTGTGATTTGTGTTGAAAACAAGGATAAGTTGGTCGGGCTTATAACTCCTGACATTCCACCCATTGGACTAAGGTTGGGGTAACTAAAAAGCTAAGGAATTTTTTGTTTGTGGATATTATTATCTTTTGAATCAGTTTATATATAAAGAAATATAATAATTTTAAAATAATAACCTGTGCCGGTTGTGTGTGTATATGTGTAAACGGGTAATCTCTGGAAAAGGGACTTGATGCTACTGTCCTTGAATGTTGAGGTGCATCCTGCGCCTGGCCGGGAGGAGATCGTGGTGGAGAACCATCACCCGGTGGAGTTGGTGGTGACGAACCCCCATTTCCTCCACCGCTCACATTCAATTCACCTAAACAAAAAAATCACTTAAACACACTTTCATTTTATCTGTGACAAATAAAAAGAAAAAAAATAAGGGAGAATAATTTAAAAATATATTACAGCCTTTAATTAAAAAGAGGAGATTTGGCATAACCCAAGTCTTTTGCTTTGTACTTTGCCAAGTTCCTTCAGTTCTCTTGTTTGGTTTCTTTTTCCACAATTTTAATAAATAAAATCAATATGATAAAAATGTCATACCAGTAGATCTGATTATTGCTACAGGCCTCGCCATCGGCGGTGGAGGAGGTGGAGGAAGCATTGTACTTGGATAATACTGTGCCAATTTATTTGGACTTCTTGAAGGCCCAGCCTGGGAACAGGAAATTAAATAACAAAAAAATCTTAAAATAAATAATATATGCAAATTATACGACCAATTTAATTACCGAACCTCAGATGACATTTATACAATATACTCAAAACAAAAATCAAAACGATATCTACTACTATTTTGGGTTGTTGCAATATTTTTATTGCTTAAGAATGCCGATGATGGAATATTTAGTATCCCATGAACCCTGTCACACTACCCCTTCACTCTAATAAATACATTCACTCTCAATATACACAAAACGAGATATATTCAAAGTCAGCAATCATTTTTCTTCCAAATATCAGAACAGGGTTAAAATCTTATGTGCACAATTTTCATATCGGGTGGCATTCCCACATGCGTTTATATGGAGTCAATGAATCACACTATTCATTACTTTGGACACTTGCCCTTATGACAATCTAGCATCCTTTTGAATAAGTTGTTTTATGTGGTTTTACTCTAGGGTTACCATTTTAATTGAGGTTCAATAATTTATAAGGCCATGCGAGACATACATTTAAGATCAAAACAATTTTTTCATATACTAAATCAAAGCAATTACATTTTTCATGTAAGCATGACTTTTTAATTGAACCATTCACCTGATTTTGAGCGTTTTCTGCCTCTTGACATACAAAAGTCACAAAGTCGGACAACGTGTCGTGTCCGTTTTCAGGGTATTTAGTCGGGCTGTGCTGATCGTTTTGCTGGTAGTAAGTCGCAGTCGCAAGCGAAGCCACGTTACTGTGCTGTGGGGGCAGCCCTAGAAGAAATAACTCGTGAGAAACTTCCATTAAAAAAAATATCTTGTAATCTAAAAGAAATATTCAATTTGTGTTTTATTTACTTGAGGATGATCTAAATTGTAGATTAATGATATCTAAAAGACAAAAAACTTACCATTAAATAAAACTTATAGAAAATATTTTAAATAAAACATTCATACAATAAGCAAATGTGAAGTGACGTTTTGGTCTTAAATCTGTGTCTGCTGAGTTCAATAAAAATAAAGATTGATTCGAACCAAAATTTTCTAATTGTTACAGTTCAAATTTATATAAAACAATTATTCAAACGAGTGAGACTCCAATATCAAGATCAAACAATTTTGTATAATAGAAATAAAGTTTTTATTGCTTTATTAGCCATGCAACTCCTGAACTTATTTTTGAAAAATGTTTTCAATTAGAACGAATTCCGCTGTCATATTTCTAACATTAATACTGCCAACAAAACACATTATTTGTACAATTATGCTTATATGGTACTAACTATGAACTTAAATTTATGAAATTTGTCAAAAAAATGATTTTTTTATCCCATTTCTGCAACATGCTGTGTTTTTCAAATTTGTGAATCAGAAACAGCTTTATCATTTAACTATTACTTCTGCAACAATAACTAATTGTAATTGTTTTTCATTTAAATAAATAAGTTTTTAAATGATTCTAGAGTGGAGAAGTAATCCATTAATTACACTCCTAAACCCTATTCACTTTCACGAGAATATTTAGGGATGAAGGTCCAGCGTTTTAAGGAAACTTATTGCCATTTTGGGGACAAATGGGATCTGAAGGACTGTGGATAAGGTTGGTTAGGAAGTTTCATGGGCAATGGTTTGAAGGGTTTTGGAGAAAGACTGGAGTGAGTCAGTACCAAGTCTTTCATTGAGTTCATTAGAGGACAGAATTGGTAGCTGGGATAGGAAGAGTTATAGGTTAGACGTGGCAAAGGGTGATGGCTATTTGCTGGTATGGTTTTATTGAGTCTGAAAGTACATTTCTAGAACATCAAAAAGGACAGATGGCTCTGGAGATTTTTATTAGGTCTGGAGGTTCCAAGTAAGCCAAATAAGTCTCAATAAGTCTCATATATGTACATTGGTAGCTGGGAGAAGTATAAAAAAAGGTTATATGATAGAGAGTGAAAGTTTTATGCCTGGAACTTCCAAAAAGGACAGATGGTCCTGGAGTATTGTTACTAGGTCTGGGGGTTCTGAATAAGTTCCAAATAGGAGACAGTGGTTGCTGGAATAGAGAGGTTATGAGGCAGAGGGTTGGGATTTGGTTTTGTACTGTCTGATCTCCATTTCTTGAACTTCCAAGGATAACAGTTAATCCGGTAGGATTTTACTGGGTCTGGGAGTTAAAAGTAAGTCCCAAATTGCGGGCATTGGTTTACTGGGAGAAGTTTAGAGAGGTTATACGGCATAGGGTGAAGGGTATTTTCTCGGATTTGTGTTATATTTGAGACTGATCCTATTTATTTTTCATTTTATAGATGGTAACTGTTGTGAATTTTCTAGGCTTTAAATATATCACTACGTATGAGTGTAAATTAAGTAATCTTAAGGCAGATTTATGTATATATAAAAGTCATTAAGGAAAACTGAATAAAGTCAGTTATCCAGTCAAACTTATCGCTATATAAGTTTCGATAGAAACCTAATGGATTTAAACTTTTTTACCACTTTAATTAAACTCAATGAAAATTAACAATAAAGATAATCTGAATAAAAACTGAACAAAAAGAAAAACACAGATTTCAAGAAATAATTTATGAAAATTTCTTGAAACATCCAACAATAAATAGCAAATTATTTCTTTCGTATTCAGTTCTACAAAAACATTTATGAAATTTTCTGACATAATGTAATTACATTTTAACAATTAATAACCAAAGTAAAAGCATAATTTAGCATTAAATACTTTTACCTGAAGTAATTATATTATATTATTATTTTTTTAAAGATTCATTTTAGAACATAGTTCGATTTATATCAATGTGGAGTCCATGCTCTTTAATATGCTGCTAAGAAAATGGCTAACATTTAAATTACTAATAGATGAACATCAATAGCAGGCATATTGACAGAGGCACAAAAACAACATCAACAACAAAACAACATCAACAACAACATCAACAACAATAACGTTCATTTAGAATAGACAGGGTATGAGTGTTGATGGGATAATATGGTTTAAGAAAATATAACTAATAAAGAAACAAAAAAGGGAGATGAAATAAATAAAGAATAAAATTATTTAAAAGCAAAATTATAAGAGATTATAAAATTATCCCCTGCCTTTATTTAAAAAAATTGACAAATTGTAGTCAAATTTTGAAGATTGATCAGCAATAAAATAAATTTTTGTCAATTATCGCATGTTAGTCAAGAAAAAGAAGTTGATAGGAAAAAGCAAGTAAATAAAATTTTGTGCAAAAATTTGAACAAAAAAGGGCCCGATTTTTTGTGCTGATTTTGTTTTAAACAATATCATGAAATAATGGTGTATTTTGTGATGTTTTAAAAATCGAAAAAAAAAGAAAAATTTGAACGTTCAACTATAAACGTGTCTTATTTACAACATCGACACCGCTACAACAAATACCTACGTTTAAATTTACAATTGAAGCTGCACTAAAATGCTTTGCTATAAAATTACATTTTTACATAAAAAACATAGAGAGAGAGACAGAGAAGGAAAGGTGAAAATGGGTATTTTTTTAGTAACACCAAGAACATCCAACACAAGTAATACCTGATTAGTCTGCTGTGACATCATGCAATTTAGGGAGGGTACTGAAACAAAACCATTTCCTGTTACTTCCTACGTACCTATCCTAATTCTACCACTCCTCTATTCCTATGTTGTCATAACATTGTTAATATTTCAATTATAAGTGTACTGTATTTAAAATACATGTATGTATAATACTAGGTTGAGCTCGTATTGCTTTCCAACGTTTTATTTATGATTTACACATGTGGATGTTCCAAAATCATTCTATGACTTATAACTCATAAAATATGCTAAGTAATAACTATAAATAAATAAACAAATAGAAAATCCCTGTCAAAAATATCGCAACACCTTGAAATCTTTTTAATTGCATATAGTATTTGGTAGATGTCTGGTTTTGTGTTTCCTTTTGTGTATATTGAGAGTGAATTTATTTATTAGAGTGAATGTGCATATGAGAAAGTCGATGGAATACTTGATATTCCAAAATTCACTCTCTCAGACCTAAACTGTATCGATACCCTGAAACAGTAGTAGATATCTTTTTTATTTATTTATTGTAGTGAACGTATTTATTAGAGTGAATGTGCATATGAGAAAGTCGATGGAATACTTGATATTCCAAAATTCACTCTCTCAGACCTAAACTGTATCGATACCCTGAAACAGTAGTAGATATCTTTTTTATTTATTTATTGTAGTGAACGTATTTATTAGAGTGAATGTGCAGAAGGAGAGGGTCGATGTTAGTACTCGATATTCCACCATCGGTTGGTTCTCTCATCCTATAAAAATAAATGCAATGCCCTGAAGAATTAGGAGATATATTTTTTTTGGTGCATATTAGAGTGAATGTGCATGAGGGGTGTTGGAGTACTTGATATTCCAGAATCCACTCTCACAGAGTATTAAACTATCTCAACACACTGAAAAAATAATAGATTTCTCATTTTTTGGTGTTATGTATTGAGAGTGAATGTATGTATTAGAGTGAATATACATGAGGGCCATTGCAGAACTAAATCTTTTACCACCGACCCTGTCACATTACAAAGCTATCGTAACACCCTGAAATAATAGTAGTTATCTGGTTGCCTTTTGTGTACATTGCTAGAGAATATGCTTATTACAGTGAATGTAAAATTAAAAAATATCGAGATTTATAGGTGTTGCGATACGAGTTGACGGTTTTTTTTGTTTTGTTGTAAAAAGTAGATTTCAAATAAATAGTTTTTGATGACAAAAATATTAGACTAGAGAATAAAAAGTGAAAAAATAAAAATAAACTAAAAGCTAGGTTTTTTACAATTAGATTTTTAATTGTAATCTACACATCAAAGATGTAATAAATTTAATTGCTCTTATAAAACATTTAGTTAAAAAAATATACATTTAAGGCAGTTATAAATTTTGCAACCTAGGAAGAAAAATCCAATAATTTCAAAATATTTGATGAAAATAATGCACATAGCTTGGAAGTAAGTAACACTTTAACTTTTCAAGGAAGTGTGTTTGTTAAAATTATAAAAAAAAAAAAAAAATACCGGTTATCGTAATGTTAATTAATAAAGGTTAATTTCTCCACCAAACTGTATTAAATAGGGTGTGAACAAATTTCACAGATTTGGCCTAAAGAATACAAATATAAAACAGAAAATTTATTGTTATATTTTTATTATTATTATTATTTTTGTGGAAATAATTCTCAAGGCTTAGGATCGGCTTACCATGCTCGACATCTGAGTGCCAACTAGTCTGACTTGAAAGCGAAGCGGGGCTTTGTCCGTAGTAGCCGACCTCGGTCTGTGCCTTCTCTCTTGAACTACTTGTTGCAGCACCGCCTCCACTTCCAAGTTCGATTTCCTCTTCGGCCGAGCTCAGCCTTCGAACACGTTTGGATCTCGGCTCACCCGGGCTTTGACCACTCCTCGGGAGACCAAGAGGACCTGCGTGTTAAGGTTCAATTTTTGAATCTTATAAAGTAAAAAATCACTTCTAATTAGTAAATTGCCAAGTTTAACATTTGATTATTATTTTAAATGGACCTACTAAGTACAATTTTAGCCAACTGATTTTTTTTTTAAAGCTGGCATAGGCTGACAGTCACCCTTGAGTCACTGGGTTATCATCGTATAAGGCTACATGGCAAGTTCTCGGGATGGGAATTTGTAGTGAACAATTTGGCAGTACAGTCAGGATGGACCAAAAGCTTCGTGTCGAACTTTCAAAAGTGGGATCAGATCACCTCAGACAAAAAGAATGTGGAGGTTGTGAGGTTAGAAATCGCTGGATTGAGAGAACCCCACAATTCCACTTCCAAATTGGCTGCAATGTCGTGCTCAGAGTCTTTGATGATCTCAAAATATTCTTGGATTATTCAAGATTGTTTCTGTCTCTTGAATCTTATATCGGGATTCGATGTAGGTATAGTTCCAGCCTAGGTATAGTTATAACTAATATGACTTGATTGTTCCTTGATATTAAGGGGACTTTGAGAAGCCAGCCTATGCTGCTGAGGGTGCTAGGTCTCTTGGCTGTCATTGTTTATAGAGATATGGTGGATTTTCAATATGGGAAATTGTAGAGAATGCTTTGGCAGTATGGGCAGGATGGATGGAGAGGTTCGTGTTGTACTTTTAAAAGCGTTATAAGTTCACCTTAGACAAAAAATTATGTTGGGGTTTGAAGTTATTGATGTAGCAAGGAGAACAATTTGCCTGGATTTTGGTTGGAAAGACTGAACTAGTTGAATTCGTGAAACTTATAGTTCCACTCCTGTCCAAATTAATTGCTCGGATAGTATTCGAATTGCCTGTAGAGTCTTATATTGGGATTCCACGTCAGCCTAGGTATAATCATAAGTATCTGACTTAAGTGGAAGTCGGTTGTTCCTTGATATTAAGGAGGCACCTTGAGAAGGCAGTGTAGGCTAACATGAGAAGGGCAAGCGGATCTTTGGGCCATCATCATTTAAGGCGATATGGCAGGTTCTCAGGGCAGGGAAGTGTAGAGATGACTTTGTAAGTATGGCCAGGATGGATTGAACTTTCAAAAGTGGGATCAGATCACCTCAGATAAAAGAAAGTTGCGGACATTGAGGAAAATGAAGTTTGACTATTTGTCGACTTTTGATCAACATATAGGATGTGCTATACATATAGGAGCAAATTGGTCGTATTGTTTTTTTTTTTTTTATAGAATCTTTGATAACCTCAAAGTTTTCATGGGTTGTTCCTTAATATTATGGGGATGTCTTGTGTAGCCAGCCTAGGCCTTATATTTTTACAATTTTACTTAATAAAACCATCTATCACTGTCTTTTTTTTCCATGTGAAATTTGCCTTCACCCATTTCCTCATATCTCGTGTTAGTAAACAAACATATTTTGTAACATAACACAAACAGGAGGGTCCAAGGCTTTGGAAATATCTCTGGAATGACCACAACACTGAAAACATTTTCCCAGTCATACTTACTGTACTGCGCCGAAGGAATCATGGCAGCATGGTCTTGACCTGGAGGCGTATAACTGTTGCAGTAGTACCCGGGGTTTTCTATTTTAATAACGTTTATAGGAGGTTGCATCCCGTTGCAGTTTTGTACGATTGACGCTGAAAGAAGAAACATAAAAGTTATTAGATGACTTATACGCCCAAGCGTCTACAAACGGTACACAGTCCACCAAAAAATATCACACAGGTTTTTTCTTTTCTGATGGCATATTTAAAAAAAATATATGACTTTTTTCTTATTTTATGTTAAAAAAAATATTAGGAATTTTTATCGTGATCAAATTTTATTGCAGAATTTTTAGTTTAGGTCATGCACCAAATAGACATCATTTTGAAAAGTAACCATCCAATTCTATTTTTAAAATATTCATTCAATTTAAATATAAAAAAATTATGCTAATTAACTCTCTCGTCCTAATGAAAAAACAAAACAAAAAACAAAAATGGTTTCACATAAAATAAAATGGATTTCATCTTAAAACAATGATTAGTATAAAAGACAAATTTTATATTTTAAAAATTCTAACTACATCTTAAAATAAAATAAATTAATTATTAGATAAATCCAACCTGAGTGTATTGCTTTTGAAAATTAGGGCTCAAACTGGACCAAGGAGGAAGTTCAGATGTTAATCAAGCTAACTATATTAGTGTGTGAGGGTAAGCATATAATTTTTATTGGATGGTAAAAGAATGCAATTAAATGCTGTAAAAGACTATAAACACTAATATTTTTGTGCAGCGGTTCTTAAAAATACAAGGCAGTCATAGGATAATTTTATTGGTGGTGGCACATTATGGAATGTGAGCCAACCAGTGACAGTCAGCATCTTCTAGTGTATCGCGATGGGATTATGCCAGCCCCAACCTCCTAGGTAGGGTAAAAGTGGGAAATTCCGAGTGGAGATGGTCTATAACCTGTTAAGCTATGATTTTTTAGCTGTACTGTTCAGTTTGTCAAGTCCATATGTTGTTAAGCCTGGATCGAACAGCTAGAAGTGGATTAGGTTCCTTGTAAGTCCTGTTAAGTCCTAAGTAACCTAGGGTAGAGGATACAATGTTTCAGAGAGATTAAGGTTAAGTAGGTGACTTTGATAATAACCAGATTTTAAAACAAATTATTATTATCATCAGTTCCAGACCGCAAGAAGAGCTGTGTAAATTATCCTTTTTGTACGTCTATAGTTCAATTCTTTCCTTTTAAATATATGATGGTATTCACTAGGACAGGATTGAATTAAGGTGAGAGTGAGATGAGGAAGTCAGCCTTGTGCTTGAAAGTAACCTTGGATGTACCCTTGAGATACACTAGAGAGAATACAATATCTCGGAGAGGTTGAGGTTATGCAGGTGACTTGATAATAGCCAGAAACATATTACTTTCATCACCTTACAGTTTGTCCGTAAGACCATAGAGAAGCTAGAAGAGGTGTGATAAGTACTTTTATATGTCTTTCAATCTTAGACATACAGTTCAATGCTGTCATTTTAAATATGTGGATACCATGACCTGCTAAGGTTAGTCTTGGATTGAACTGCAAGGACAGGAGAAGAGTTAGGTAGCTTCTTGTAGGTCCTAAGTAATGTTGGATGTACTCTTGAGATACACAAGAGAGGATAGAATGTCTCGGAGAGATTGAGGTTATGTAGGTGACACGATAATAACGTGATATTAGAAACGATTATTGTCATCACCTTACAGTTTGTCCGTAAGACCATATAGAAGCTAGAAGAGCTGGGTTAGGTATTTTTTTAATGTCTAGTTGTCCTAGACCTTGGTTCAATTCTGTCATTGTAAGTACATGGATGCCATGGCCTGCTAAGTATGGTCTTGGGTCGAGCTGCTGGTACAGAATGGAGGTTTGGGTGAGTGTGAGGTATCGAAGGAAGTCTGTTCTGTGCTGATACGTAACAAAATAAGTATCCTTGAGATAAACCAGAGGACAGAATGGCTCGGAGAGGCTGAGGTTCTGCAGGTGACTTAATAATAAATAGATAGTAATAAAACTGTAGGATTAATTTATTGTTGGAAGGTCAAAAAATATTTACAACACGATCTGTTTTCGAAAGAAAAATCCAAAACTCCTATTTTTTTTTTAAAGAATATTCCGAATTCAATACCCTATTTCAATGCATCACTCAGGTTTTTAAAAATGTTTACAATTTTAAACAATTTACTTCGAAAAATAAAAAAATTCTGATATACTAATCACAGAAGGGGGGAAATACTGTGAATAACGACTTAAACCAAGTTACAGTTTTTTAAAATATTTTTAAAATTATTATTATTTTTTTTAATTGTTGAAGAAATGAGTTTTTCCATTCTCACTCCTTGACTAAAGATGAGAAAGAATTTGTAGGTTTACCTTTAGAAAGTCTCCACAGCTCCTTAGAGGAAAAGACACCAGTGGCTAGAATAGTGTCATTACAGACAACGCCGTTGTATGGGTTGTGCGAGTACCCTACAAAAACAACCCAGACCTGTTAGCAAATTGTGCCAAGTCGATTAATTAAAAACCTTATTGACAATATCAAGTCAATAATTTTGTTTGAAAATGCATTTGAGTATACTGATGTGTAAAATTATAATATTCCATGACCTAACAGTCTTCATAACATATAAAAAATATACAATCCATTTGCATAATTTGTTTGTTACATCATACATTATTATGTTATAATTTTTTAAATTACCAAATTACCTAGTTTCTAATCTTTTAAAAAATCCATTTATTATTTTTAAGAATGATAAACTGTTCAAAATGCTGTCTATTACAATTTACATGGAAAAATCGAGCATCTAAGGCTATTAAGTGGTTTAATAATTTAATATAAATATATTTTAATTGTCAATTTATTTATTGAAGATCCGTATTGTTACAAAACTATAGTAAAGTAAGTTCAAAGCCAAATCCTAGCATGTAACCTTCATCCTCTGCTGTATTACCTCTTTGTACTTCTCCCAACAACCCATCTCCGCTATTTGGGACGTACTTAGAACCCTCAGACCCAGTAGATAGTTAGGGATGGTAAGGGAATTGTAGAACTAACTGTCCCTTTTGAAAGTTCAAGAAATGGAAGATCAGCCTCAACAAAACCAAATCCAAACATATAATCTTCAGCCTCTGCCGTTTAACCATTTTATACTTATCCCAGCAACCAATGTCCAGAATTTGGGCCTTATTTGGAATCTCCAGACCTAGCACAAAGCTCCCAGGACATTCTGTCCTGTTTGGAAGTTCAAGGCATACAAGATCGAACTACAAAAAAAAATCTTAGCATATAATCTTCACCCTTTGACATAAAACCTTGAAATACTTGTCCCAGCAACTAATTCTCCGCTATTTGGGACTTACTTGGTTCTCCCAGAGCCAGTAGAAACCTTCTGGACTATCTGTCTTGTTTCAAAATTCAAGAAATGGAAGATCAGATTCAACCAAATCCAAACATATAATCTTCATCCTCTGCCATATAACCTCGTTATAGTTATCCCAGCAACCAATGTCCTCCATGTGGGTTTTACATGGAACCTCCAGAATTAGTAAAACCTCCAGTACCACTTTCCTGTTTGGAGTGCCTAAGAAACCTGCCAAAAGGAAATTTCCAGTGACTGCGACTTGTCCAGAAAGAGGCTTTTCATGACGATTATAAATTTAGAAAATTAATGTTCTGCAAAAACGAAAAAAACGAGGCACTGTAAGTAGACCAGCTCATCTGAGAAGATAAACTTCCATCACCCTCTCCGATCATCCCCAAGAGGGGCTTAATGGAGTTTGTTGATTGCCTGTGGTTTACTAAAGTAGGTGTCATCCTCCTTCAGCAATGCTTCAAACATGAACTTGAAACATCTGCTTGCCATTACCCAGGACTCCTTTTTGTCCTCTAACTCAAGATATTGCCAGGTTGTGACCTTTTTACCTTCTAATACTATTAAGGCTTGGTTGTTTGATCTTATGATGATTTTTTGTTTGAGTGGACACTAAGGGTCAACCCTGGCATAGATTTCTGCTACTCGATAAGGAAAAACCATTAGCAGTTTCATATGCAAAAGTACCACTAGTCAGGTTATGAAATTGGTCTAGCCTAAAGCCCTCCCCTGTATAAATAAGAGTTTAAAAGGAATGGGTGGCTGCCTATAGTTACAAAAGTAGGTATCAGCACAACTTCAGCAAGGCTTCAAACTTTAAAGCAGCAGCTGATAAACTTGCAGCACCCCAATAGATAAGCAAGGGCCTTAAAGAAATATCATACCTACCTGCGGTTACCAAAGTAGGTACTGCTTCAACCTTCCAACCAGCAGTTGTCAAACTTGCAAGACCCCGATAGACAAGCCAGGGTTTAAAGGAATGTGTTGACTATCTGTGCTTAACAGCAGCCGATGAACTTGAAACATCTTTGTCTTTTAAAGAGAACTTCTGTGTCCTAGCACCCAAGATATCGCCAGGTTGTGACGGTTTTACGTTCTATTGTTTTTATGGTTTGGCTATCTCATCTTTTGAGTTTTTTGTCAGTGTAACTGTATTTCCTAGAGCCAAGGGTGTTGAATACTTCTGGCCTAGCAATTTGTCACAGAAAGGGGATACCTTCAAAACTTGGTCTTTGACACATGCTTAGAGGTTCATAGAAGAGTCACACACAAAACAGAAAAAACCAAAACAAACACGGGATCTGGTAAATTCACTGAGTGGAAACCGTCACTCGAGAAGTCGGTACTGGTAGAAGAACCGGCAGATAGTCAAGAAGAAGGGACTGTCGAGTAAGGGCCCTGGCCTAGGTTTCTGCTAAGGTGAGGAAAAACCACAAACATAAGAACTAGCCAATTTATGGAATTTGACCACAAGCCCAAAGCTGCATATCGAACTCCAATCAACGTAGAGGTCATGCAAGAGCCTTTGAAGTCATATCTACCTCTACCTTAGGAATGTCTGATCTTTTTGGGACGGTATATGGTTTAGAAGACCAAAACTACGTCTGGCTTGTTTGTCTGCTAGTTTATCATGCAGAGATTGTGTATTTTTCTCAGGTTTTTGAGATTTTCGATGAGTTAATAGACATAAACACCGAGACCTTAGAAACTACAGGGGTCTTCAATAAGAATGCTTCTTAGGCAAAACCGACAGCCTTCCAAAACAGGAGAAAACACTAGACGTAAAATCCGTAAAGTGAGAGGAAAGAGGAAACAAAAAAAAAAAACAAAAAACAAAAAAAATCTCCATCAATAAACGTCTGCATGTAATTGATAAAATGAAATATCGACTTGTACCCTGAAATGGGGTGGGGTGTAAATGTTTGTTTTTCTTAGTCCTGGTCAGATATAAGCTTGAAATATAGAATCGATAAAATGGGGCCGTTACTGGAGTAAATAATACTTGGAGAGGCGCCACTGAGCTCGCAGTCCTCAGACTGGAATGCATAATAGGTCTCCTCATTAATTAACTCTCCTAATGTTGTTAATTGTTAACAAGTCGGACCAACATCTATTTCGCTATATTGGATTAAATCTCAACCCACTTATAACTTAATCCGACCTTTCCTAATAACGGGGCCCTCGGCCTAATTAAAAGGACGAATTTCTAATCGAGTTATATTAGAGATAAAGAAAGGGGACTTGATTCTACAAGTCGAGAAAGCGCCGATTAAAGCGTTAGCTTCTAAAATTTACGATGTACTAACCACCCCTTTTTAATTACTTCAATTATATCGAAGATAAATTTTCTTATGGTTTATGTTATTATTTTTAACTTAAAGCAGCTTAAAACTTCAATAAAAATCCCCCCCCTCAGCCGCCCAAAAAAGTTTATAGTACAATTTATGATAAAAGATTGCGATGAAAATACTTGACCTTAATTTAAAAAAAAAATAAAATAAAATAAATAAAAAACTAAAAACTAAAAGCAAATAAATAAAACAAATGCCAGTAGGTATTTGGTAAAAAGTATTCGCCAGTAGCTGTTGTGATACAATAATAATATGAAGAGTAAGGTAGAGGCTAGCGTCATACTTTCAGCAAGCCCAGAATAGTGGCTTGCATAAACCTCCAGGACAGGTCCTATTTGGAAGTTCAAAAAATGCAGAATCAGGCTTAAAAAAACATAATCCCAGCATATAGCCTTCACCTTCTGCCCTATAACCTCTCGACACTTCTACCAGCAACCAAAGCTCTCCATTTGGTACTTATTTGGAATATCCAAACCTCGAAGACGAACTGTGTGGAAGTTCAAGGAATATAGGATCAGGCCCAAGAAAAACCAAACTCCAGTATATAACCTTCACCGTCACAGTATAACCACCTTATCTTTCACCCAACAACCAATGTCCAGCATTTGAGCCTTCTTGGAACCTCTAGAACTAGTAGAGACTTGCAGGACTAACTGTCCTTTTTGTAAGTTCAAGAAATTTAGAATCAAACTAAAAAACCTAACACCAACATCCTGTATCGGATAACCTCTTTATACTTATCCCAGCAACCAATGCACGATGTTTGTGACTTACTTGGAACCCCCAGACCTAGTAGAAATCTCCAGGACCAACTGTATGGAAGTTCAAGAATGCAACTGAACAAAACCAAATCTCACGAAATAACCCTAACCCTCTGTCATTAATTTCTTTAAACTTCTCCCAGCAGCCCACGTCTTCTATTTGGGACTTACATGGAACCTCCAGACCAAGTAGAAACCTACAGGGACACCTGTCCTGTTTGGAAATTCAAGAAATGGAAGGTCAGATTCAACAAAACCAAATCCCAGCATATAACCTGCACCTTCTCCCGTATAATCTTTCGACACTTCTATCAGTAAACAACGCCCTCCATTTGGGACTTACTTGGAATTCACAGACCCAATAGAAACATCCAGGACTATCTGTCCTGTTTGGAAGTTCAAGAAATTTAGAATCAGACTAAAAAACCTACCACCAACATCCTCTATCGGATAACCTCTTTATACTTATCCCAGCTCGATGTTTGTGACTTACTTGGAACCCCCAGATCTAGTAGAAATCTCCAGGACCAACAGTTTGGAAGTTCAAGAATGCAACTGAACAAAACCAAATCTCACGAAATAACCCTAACTCTCTGTCCTATAATCTCTTTAAACTTTTCCCTGGAACGTCTTCTATTTGGGACTTACATGAAACCTCCAAATCAAGAGAAACCTCAAGGGATATCTGTTCTGTTTAGAAATTCAAGAAATGGAAGGTCAGATTCAACAAAACCAAATCCCAGCATATAACCTGCACCCTCTGCCGTATAACCTTTCGACACTTCTACCAGTAACCAACGTCCTCAATTTGGGACTTACTTGGAATTCACAGACCCAGTAGAAACAGAAGTTCAAGAAATGAAAGATCAGACTCAACAAAACCAAATATCCGCACCTGACCTTCACCCTTTGAACACCTTTCCCCTAATCTAATACAATTACGGTCCTATTCCAGCTATCAATACCGTCGTCTATTTTGCTTT